TTTTGGAGTAAATTAGGGCTTTAAGGAGTCATTTTTGGTAACCAACTATGAATGCAATCATGGTTGAGGCTAAGAATCCAGATCCAAGGTCCTTAGGGGACTACAAGACATAAAGTGGCGTACTTTAAGGCCTTAGAAAGCCCCATACATTTAAGAGCTTCTTTTAGAGCCTTTTGTGCTTATTCTCCCATGCATGCACGTAACGTTTGTAACTTTATGTGCTAGATCGATCTTAGGAGCCTAGATGTACCATTTGGACAAGTGTTGTACATCAGAAATCGAGAAATAAGACTTGGACAACCTCGACTCGACGAGTTGTTCTTGGGACTCGATGAGTTCGAGGCCTGACTTCCCTTTTCTGTTAGGGTTCAAAGGAACCCAATTGAGTGTTAGAAGGGTTTAGAGGGTCCATGAGAGTGACCCAATGTATTGGACTTAGCCATAGACCTGGAATTCATAGGACTCAACGAGTGCATGAGCAGACTCGGCGAGTCCAAGGCAATCTCCCAACTTTTGAAGATGAACTCGATGAGTTATTCATACAACTCGGCGAGTCAAGGTCAAGACTGTTTAAAGGACGAGGATGAACTCACCGAGTTGTTCATATAGCTCGGCGATTCATATGAAGCTTCATTCGAGGTTGTTTTACAAGGAGAACTCGTTGAGTCATTCCTAAACTCGACGAGTAGAAGCGTGAAAAAACATAAATGAAGGGTAGGGACTCGACGAGTTGGAGGCCCAACTCGGCGAGTTAGGTCAACTGGAAGTTGACTTTGACTTTGACTTGGTCAGGGGTAAAATAGTCATTTTACCCTAAAAATAGTTATCAGTGTTTGACTAAGTGTTTATGGGAATTATATTCGGAGGATCATCGAAGCAGCGGTCGGACATCTGTCAATCAGCTTTTCAGTAATCAGCCTTATGAGGTTAGTTACATTCTAGTAGGGTAGGTCTACGGCACCAATACCGGCCAACCAGTAGGAGATTATGGGTGAGATAGTTATCTTTGTGATAATTGTCTGGTTAATATATATGTGCTGAATATGTGTTAGTAGTAGTAGGGCATGCTAGCCCTTGGTTACCGGTTGAAAGATACCGAAGGGGAGAGTAGCTCCCGATTATCGGTTGGAAGATACCGAAGGGGCGGACAAACTCACGTATATATAATTGTATGCTTATGATATGCCATTATGTGACTCAATATGCCTATGTATGTTATCATGAAACCAATATGTGATGACATGTAATATGTGATAGGGGAAGGGGTGAAATAGTCCCCACTTACCGGTTGAAAGATACCGAAGGGGAGGTTAGTTCCCGGATGCCAGTTGAAAGATACCGAAGGGGGATAGTAGCTCCCGGTTACCGGTTGAAAGATATCAAAGGAGAGGATAGTTTCCGGATATCGGTTGAAAGATACCGAAGGGGAGAGTAGCTCTCGGTTACCGGTTGAAAGATACCGAAGGAGAGGCTAGTTCCCAGATACCGGTTGAAAGATACCGAAGGGGAGAGTAGCTCTCGGTTAATGGTTGAAAGATACTGAAGGAGAGGATAGTTCTCGGATACCGGTTGAAAGATACCGAAGGGGAGAGTAGGTCTCGGTTACCGGTTGATAGATACCGAAGGGGAGGGTAGCTCCCGATTACCGGTTGAAAGATACTGATGACTATGTGCAATGGGTATGGTGGGGGAAGTCACTAAGCTTCGTGCTTACGGTTTCAGTTTTAGTTTCAAATACCTCTTCGTCTAAGGAGAAGGAGCCGGCAGTGTAGTAGCGCATCACACACACACACACATGTTTTCCGCATGGAGTTTCCTGGGAGTCTACTCTGAATTATTTTATTTTTGGACAAAATGGTTTTTTATGGTGACATGTTTTGGATTATTGACATCTTGATTGTGACATGAGATATCATTATGAATGTTTTTATACCAATGGTTTTTATGTTATAATCTAATTAAAAACGAAATTTTTGGCCTTAATTTTTGGGATGTTACAAAGGAGGGGAGGGGAAGGAAGAAGGAGGAGGAGGAACTGAAAGGAGGGAGGCTGAAGAGAAGGAGGAAGGTGGGATGGAAGGAGGTTGGTCGGAATTAAGAGGTAATGATTGTGGGTCTAGGAGGTGCTGATGGAGGGTGACTTCGGATGAAGTGGTTGCTGATGAGGGAATGGTGCTTGCAGTCGAGTCAAGCTACGGATGGAGATACCAAAGTCATGTAGGATGTGGTAGAGGCGAAGGAGGTGATGGTGGATGCGAGTTGTGGTTCAAGAGAAAGAAGCATGCAGTCCGAAGTTGCTGATCCGAGACTATGGACAAAAGGATGGATTGCAGTTCTGACTTTGGTAGCTCAGCAAGAAGGTGGATGCAGTCCATCAGTAGACATCCAAGGCTACGATCTACTAACTCCTCAGCAGACTTTGTTTTTTTTTTTTTTTTTTTTTGAGAAAAAGGAAGGGAATATTGTCTTGGAAGACAAATATGAGAAGTATGCAGGTGGTTTTTAGGGACAAAAGGTGATAGAATTTGTCATAGTCACATGGTTTTTACTTGGGAAGGCAAAAGTGAGTGGAGTACTCTTTACCCAAAAGATTAACAAGGACAATATGCTTTTATGAAAACGCAATATTACATCCAAACACTTCAAATTAAAGATTCATAGCACCTAAAGTGTGAAGAATAGGTGCTTCATACCTCAAGATGATGAAAGTTGATGAAAAAAAATCTTCAATAAAGAAATGCTTTTCTCCACTTTCTTCAAGAAAATAAGCCCATTATTTTGTTTCTTCTCATCCAAGAATAAAAAAACTCCCTAGAATACATCCTCAACAATTTGACACCACAAAAATAATTTCTTCTTCCATTTTTCTTCATTTCCTTAACATGAAAATACTAAGAATACCAAGAGCATAAATTTCTAGCACTGAATTTGTGTGAGCGTCAGCAACATAATTATTTTACTAAGTAATAATCACCCTAGAAAAATGGAAAACTCATCAAAAATTTCCGGTGTGAACCCAAAAATTCTTGCAAAAACATGAAAAACTTCAAGATAATCACTGAATGGGAGTCGTTCCCTTGAACTAGTCAATTAAACCTTCAAGGTATGACTCTGATACCAATTGTTGAACCCACTTTTATATCGAACAGTGGATGTGGAAGAAATAAATCTTGACATATAACGTGTGAAAATATATATCCATGAAGTACACTTGACGAGTAATTTTTAGATGACAAAAGATAAGAAGAGAAAGAGAGATAAAAGATATTATTTATGAAGATCATGGTGGGAGAGAGAAACTCACCCTTGGTGGGGACAACAAAAAAAGACATTGTTTCCATGATTTTGAGAAATTCTTGAAGATGATTAACAATACACTAAGGAGTGTTCATAACAAGATTTTGACAACCCATAGCTTCAAGAATCGAGAGTAGAATGAAATATAATCAATAATGTCAAATAGAAAGCAATTCACAATGATTTCAACCATTTCTCATCAATTGGTGAATTAATTCAAAAGAAGAGATTCAAACGCTTACCAAAATCAATTATTATACTCAATTGAGTCACAAAATCGTAGCCCTCCCCTCTTCTCCTTTCAGTCCGTTCTTTCTACTCCATTGCACTCATTTTTTCCTTTTCTCCTAGCACACATCGATCGTTGCATTTCGTATTTTCCTTCTTCTGTTGAATGTCGCAAGTCACAATACCCACCCAAAAACCAATCAACTTGTTGGGCAATTGAAGAATGCTGGTACGTTTAAACCAAAATAGACGATCCTATTATTGCACATTAAACTCGTGGATTAAGAGTATGGGAGTTATTTTTCAATTAAACCTCTCAAGTGTCATAGTTAAATCCCAAACACTCCTAAACCTAATTATTTAACTATTTTAGCTTCTTTTAATGACATAATTTCCCCTCAATTCCTATTAAGCCTTTTTAATGACTAGTAATGACCTTAATTTTACTACAGAATCACTAGATTAAATTATTTTCTCTTAATTATTCTATAATTCTTTTAGATATTAAAGAATGCCATTTTTATTTAATATATTTCAATTTAACATCATAAAACTAAAATCATTAGCATCAATAATTATTCGAGTAATGAAAGAGCTAACGTCGTTAACGGAAGGATTTTCGGTTCGTTACAATTCTCCCCTCCTTAGAATGATTTCGTCCTTATACCACTTAGGGTAATGAACCTTCACTCATTATTGGACTACCTAGGTCACTTATAACTCGTACTCATCCTCCCTTTAGAGCTTAATGATTTTGCCTCATTTATTTCCATGTTTCTTGGTCTCTCTCTAACCAAGATATCTACATCTATCCCATTGCGTGCATCAACTAGTCAACTCTTAAGTTGTCTATTAGCAATACATTTGGCTCTTAAACTACCTCAAGTGTCGAAACAACTAATTATCATCCAGGGAGAGGCTACTATTTTCACCTTTCAATGGTCTACAGTCATAAGTTCTTAACCATCTTTATAACAAGACAATTGTTCTCTTCCTTGATCCTTCCATTGCATGAGCCAAAGGGAAAACTCACACCTCCTCTTTGAACAATTGCTAACTAAAAAGTAAAAATAATGGAAATGAACCCTAGAGTTCTCTCATCATGAAGTAGACATACCCTTACATGAAACGCAGAACTTGCACACGCTTTTAGCATAGAGAATCTTTGTCTGACAAGTAGACAACCAAGACATATCAATGGCGACATCGCACGACTTGATCCTAATTGTAGTCTAAGTAAAAGGGGAAAAAGTGTGTCCAACCATCAAATAAGAAAACTCATCGTACATATCCCTAAACATGAAAACAAGATTCCGTTCAGCTATCACAATGTCTAACACAAAAATTCAGAAAAAAAATCTTAACTAACCCAAACAAGCATAGAGATCAGCAAATACAATGATCTACCACCGCTAGCATCAAATATAACTATGTATAACACAAAAACTCTTAGATGAAAAACGTTATATGAGTACCTATTCATCGTGTATGCCCTCCTCGACTATCATCTGAAATGCATGTGCTAGAGAATTTTCTTTCTCTGTCTTCTGATCTGAACCGCCTATAATGACTTTCAAATTCGGGAACCTCCTACTCATGTATCCCATATGCTTGCAATTATAGTAAAGAGGCTAGGTGTTGGTACACTCAAATATTTTGTGGCCCAATTTTCGACACCATCTGTAGTTGATAGTGGTGTTATTATAAGGAACCTTGTGAAAAGACTTACATTTCCCATAGAAACCCGAATTGTCTCCTTTCTCCTAAAAAATATCTTCTTCTTCTTGGAGGATTCAGAATGACCCTCTCTCCCCCTCTTCTATCCACATTTGATAATGATATGTCCCAGTGTAGCCAGATCCACCTCAATCCAAATAGCCTCATCCATGGCAGTTGCCAAAGTGGTGCGTTACCTCATAGTAGCCCGATACTCTGCCAGTAACCCCTCAACATAGTGCTCCACCAGCTTTTCCTTGGTGGGGCAGTAATTCTTCCCTAACTATAGTGTATCAAAGAACAATGAATTATATGTCGCAACAAACATGGTTGCTTTTTCCAGTGCAAGGAACTCTTTCTCGATCCTCCTCATCGAACCCAATGGACAAAAACGTTCCTGAAGCCTTTGGCTAAAGGCATCCGAGGTCATAAAACGAAGTGTAGCCTCAGGAACAACAGAATCCAATGCCTCCCACCACTGAACAACATCATTGTCTAACTTTAGTGTTGCACAACTAAGTTTATGTGACTCAGTGAAGGCACATGAATGGAAAATCCGCCTGATCTTGTGCAACTATTTCATGCACAATGTTAGGTCATCTCCTCTTTGAAGGGGTTTGCATTCCATGAATGCTTTGAACGAACAACCCCTCCCCTCGCCATGATCTCTAGTGGACTCCCTGCTCTGCTCCCACATAACTGAGTGGGTCTCAAGTATCACCTTGTATGGCTTCTCATTCTCCTCTTCTTCATCCTCCGAGGGTAAGAGACCAGTATCTTGCATATATTGATGCATCCACTCCATGGCTCGATTGTGTCTCTATAACTCAGCATCCAGTGCCTCAAGATGCTCCTATAGGTCAGCAATGATAGCAGCACTCACGGTGTTGTCTAGTTTCGTGGCAGATGGCCAGCAGGTGGGGTCTGAAAAAAATGGTAGTGTCTTTGGGGTATAGTTGACCTAGTCTCTGCCAGTATCCCCAACAGTAGCATCCTGATCATCGCACTACATGTTCCTATATAACAAAGAGTTTCAGGTATACAACAACTTCGGGAATGAAAATTTCAAAACATTACACATAACCATCATATATCTCTCTGTTACATACGCTCACCTATTAAGATCCTAAAGCACCTAATTGAGCCAGTCTACACTGTGAGTGTAAACATCAGCCTTTGTATTCAACTACCTCACAGCATGGCTCTGATACAAACGTGTAACACTATGGTTTTTCACCCAAAAAATTTCTTTTATTTTAAACCATTTTTATAGAAGAAAATGATAATTGAAGTCTTATTTAAAGTTGAAGGAAAACATCACCAATGTTACGTTTATTTTCGAAATATGTTCTTCAAAAATAAGGTTTTGTAATTCGAAAACATAACAATCCAAAGTAAGTGTAAAATGAAAACATCACATGAGTATCAAAATGGTATCATCTGAAATCATCTAATAACAACTACCCCAAAGATTCCCATCCTCACCAAGCCATCAAATATCATTCCACTTGTACCAATGCAGCCATAAAAACAACCAAGAACAAGTGTTAGCATCGGCACAGTGAGTCACAACAATTACATGTATAAGAAAGCAACATACATCATATATCATGTTCAATCACATAAACAATCCATATCACACAAACATCAAATAGATTATTAATATATTAATTATATATTCATCTAGAAATTTGGTCATCGTAGTAATTTATTGTTTATGTTCATCGATGTATTTAAGTTTTAATGTCTATCAACATCCAATGATTATAAATATTAATATATGATGTATATATTAATATGGACATTCTTTCTTTGCAGTAATTATTTATTTATTTCCATCGATATAATTAATATTAATGTCCCTCACTAAATGGGTCTAATCATCGCTAATTTCCCCCCGAAGTAAGATCCCATTTGCTACTAACATGATCTTCTGATCCAATGCAACAATGAGGCGTGACTCCCCAACCATAACATTGACCCTTGTTCTCCGTCTTTAGTACTCTGACATTGCACAATTGTAACCAATGTGTTGTCATTTAAGGGTAGTATCAACACCTCCATGAACATATCTACACCCAAACTTGATGTTTATACATGGTATCCAAGATCACCGACATGACTCCAGTCTCGTACACCTTAGTGTACTCGAACCATGCCTCGAAATGGTTTTCTAGAAATCCACTCGATGTCGTCTTTGATGAGATATTAAAACTCTTTGATCGATTAGATCTTTGCAATAGGTAGATAATGAAAGTAAAACAATGAAACAATACTCAAGAATGGATCTGAATGAGTCGAATGATTAGAACGTTCAATCCTCAGCAGAGCTTGATTAAAAACTTCCGCTATAGAGGATTTTAGGGTTACAAAAGAGATCTTCTAAATCACACGTAAAAAACGATCTATCAGTTATGAAAAAGATGCATGCAAGCATCTATTAATACACAAACCCTAACAAAACAAGATACGGATGGACAGGCCCATACCGTATACAAAATGGGCTAATAGACGAGCCCAAGACGCAACACCAAATACCCAACAATCTCCCCCTTTGCGTCAACAGGGGCGAGACCTCACTCCAGCTTGCTTACTCCTGCGGCACTGGCTTTCTTCACAGTCTTGAATAGGCAGGGAATGATAGCAAGACGTGTTTGTCGGAAGTGAATGTACCAATTGATCATATCGTTGAAGTACTTCTTATCACTCTCCGAGTTCTGTTTGCATCAATTGATGATACCCAGAACATGCTCCAAGCAGGAAGTGGTGTAAAGATGTTTGTCAGCCAAAGCAAATAAGCATTTCTGACCTTCTGCCCTGGTGAACATGACTGAGTTTTGTTTCGGATCAATCTTTCCCATCTTCATTCTGTTTATATCGCTTGCAGAACCGACTGGAGTGATGATGGGCTTCTTCCTGAGAACATTAGCAACCTCTTGATCCAGCTTAGCAACCTCCAAAATATAACACACCAACATTCTCTTGAAATGGTCTATGATCGGACCATATTCCACTTCATTAACAAGAAGAATGTTGTGCAAGACTATCCAGTCATGAGGGTTTAAGTTGGGAAGATCAGCCAGAGAGATGGAATGCTCAGTTTTGTCAGATCCCCTTAAGACCTTGAATCTGACATTGATGAAGTTGCCCTCCCGAACAGGTTTGAGAACCCGAACGTTGATGATCTTCTGTGTGCTCCACGTCTGATACTGAGGTTGAGCGGTCCTCAGATAATAGTCTACAAGCTCCCTATCAACCTTCGGGTGAGGATGAGGAACTTCAGCTATGTGGGCGAATGCATGGAAGATAAAAGCTTTTCTTGTCAGGGGCATGTCAAATTGGGAATCGACCGAATTGACCCGGTCCAAGGAGATCACCGGTTCTAGCCAAAGAGTGCAGGGGAACTCAATGGCTTCTTTGACAAGCACTTCGAGAGTCCAAGGAGGAAATAGAGTTTTTCTGCTTTCAAGGAGATCATGAGCCTCCTTTATCTTCCTCTCCTTGGCTTCAGCCTCTCTAGCAATGCGAGCATTTTCATCAAGCTCCTTCTCTCTGGCATGTTTCCTCAATAAGCTGACAATCGGTTCTTGATCATCACTTTCATCACTGTCATCGATGATCTGTTTGTCTTTGCTTTGAGCATTCAAACCTGATGCAGGAACAGTTGTTGGTTTGGGTGCTTTCGGAGGGACAAGTGATGAAACTGGAAGTGANGAGCTTTTGAGCTTTGGAAATCGGAGGGGGTTTTGATTGAGTTGTGGGCTTCCTTTCTCCCCCTTGTTTCGGATGTTCCTCCTACTCAGGAATCCCTTCAATGTAGCTAAGCAGGGCAAGAGCAGGAGCGAGCTTCTCTGCAAGAGTGCGCCTCACCAAATAGTTAAGAATCGGATCATGGGCTTCGATAATGTTGGACAGAGCTCCATGGACATCTGAAACATAACTTCGGACCACAGCTTTCACAGACCGAAGAGAATCGATCTCCTGCTCGGCTTGGGAGAGCTGATGAGTTGCAAGAGTAAGCTCGGAAGATTTACGAGCAAGCTCGTCCTTGGTAGCAGATTCGGCGGCAAGAGTGGCTTGAAAGGTAAGAAGACGATCCGCAACCGAAGATTGAAAAGACTGATTGTCTTCTTTGAGGTTCTGACGGAAGCTGGCAAATTGGTCTTTTTCGGTTTCGAAAGAATGGACCAGCTTCTCCACAATGGTGCGAATCTTCTTGGTATTTGTTTCTGATGCCTCCTGCAAAGACTCCAGCCAAATCTGGGCATCTTGAAATAGTTTTTTGACTTTTTCAGTCGCAGCAGCACTAGCCTTTGTTGATTTGTCAATAGCAGCAGCAGCTGAGCTAATGGAGGCTTCATGTGCTTTGGAGAGTGATTCCACCATCCCCTAAATGGAAGCCTCCGAAAAGTGAGATTTTGAGGAAGAGGAAGAAGCCACAAGATTATCAATCTTCTCGTGGAGTTCCTTGGTGTGCTTTTTGGTAACTAGAGCATCATCATCATCATCACCTTGGAGTTGGTAGGGGCTGTAGTAGATGGAATCAAAGACCATATCCTCCCTTCCCAAAAAGGTTTCGGTTTCAGCAGATGGAGTGGGAGATAAGGGTGTGGCTGATGGTTCGGTAGTGGAAGTGGGTTCGGGAACGGAAGTAGGTTCGGGTTGTGAAGTTTGAACCCCCGCATCAGATACGTTGGTTGGAATCTCACTGGTGGTGGTTTTAGTGGCTTCTGTGAAGATTGGTGGTGGTATGGAAGTAGTTGAGGGTGAAATGGTAGTAGAGGTAGTTATGGGGGGAATAGAAATAGGGTTAGATATGGAGGGAATGGAAATGGAGAAGGTTATGGTGGGGATGGAGGAGGTTATGGTGGGAATGGAGGAGGTGGAGATAGGAGAAGGGGAAGAATGTTTTGATGAAACTGGTACCTCATGAGCAGGCGAGTGAGGAGGAGTTTCGCCTCTAGCCGACTCGTCTGAGTCAGAGTGGTTATCTTCTGAATCGATGGATGAAGAAGAGAGAATAAGTTTCCTCTTCAGATGGGCTTTCTTCTTCGCTGGGGGGGAAAGATCTGTCTTTGAGGGTTTTCGCTTCTTAGGAGAAGGACCCTTTGCCCCCTTTGCTGCTTTCTTGATCTTCCCTTTCTCGGGTTTCTTCCCTCTAGCAGCTGGGTTATCTGCATCATTAATGGACTGAACCATTTCCGCATAAAGTTCCCGTGGATCCGAAGGATGAAAGTCCTTGTAGGCCTTCATTATAATGCTCTCCTTGGACACACCAGCAGACATAGAATCCGGAATGGATCCGACGAAGGAGAACTTGGTCGGATCAGTAACGATGATCTTGGTGGTGTGGAAGACACTGATGGATGAGAGGAGGGAATCTGCAACAGTTGGAACATGAAGTTTATCCATGGCCCACTTGGTGATTAGCATCCAAAATCTGGCATAGGACACTTCAGTGTGGCGAGAGGAGGAGGCTAGGCTCTGAATAAGTTGTTGCCAAAGAACCGAGCCGTAGTCGAGGTTGATGCCATGGTATAGACCATAGAGAATGGTCATGAACAATTTACTGGCCCCATCAGAACCAGAACTTCGCTCAGAGAGCCCTTTGAATAGAATGGTGAAGAAGCCATTCCATGGAGGAGGAAGACACGACTTCTTGAACTTGGTGACCGTTGTGAGAATCTCCGTGTAGCCCATGTTGTAGAACATAGAAAATAACTGTCCCACAGTGATGGAGTCGGGATTAACCCTAGATTCATCGACTTCAAAACCTAGGAGCCAGCAGAATCGTTGCTTGGAGAT